GATCGGGTGCGGTAGTGGGGGTCTGGGCCGCGCTAGGAGCCGGCGGTATCCCCATTTTTTTTCAACAGCCGCCCAAGGACGACAAGAAGAAGAAAGATGCTGGAAAGTCGGCCAAGAAAGACAAGGACCCCGTGAACAAGTCGGGGGGCAAGGCCAAAAAGAAGGTAGGAGTGAGCCCTCTTATGAGTAGGGGAAACAGGCGCCCGTCCCAGATGGCTTTTAGCGTTGTGGGGTGTAGAGTCAGACTGCTAGAGCTGAGGCGCCTGCCGCCATAATCGCTTTTCCTCATTTGAAGAACGGGTGTGGTGCATGCTACTTGGAAATTCAACAAATGTGCTTAAAGACATTTGTTCTGGTGCCTCGCGTGTAACATTCTGAAGAGTCCGGTGGGACTCAACCTATACCCCAAAGTCTAATTTATGTGATGCCATTAAAGGTTACCAGGGTCTCTTTTACCTTATATCCTGGCTAATTATTTGAATCTTTTTTTTTTAAAATATATTTTTATTGATTTTTTACAGAGAGGAAGGGAGAGGATAGAGAGTTAGAAACATCAATGAGAGAGAAACATCAACCAGCTGCCTCCTGCACACCTCCCCACTGGGGATGTGCCTGCAACCAAGGTACATGCCCCCCACCGGAATCGAACCTGGGACCCTTCAGTCCGCAGGCCGACGCTCTATCCACAGAGCCAAACCGGTTTGGCTATTTGAATCTTTGTAGAGTTTCTGCATATTGTGAATTTCCAGGCCCAGGAACCTCAGTCCTGTCACCCTCTCAGCCCTGCCAATACAGAGGCTTCTGACGGGGTTGTCTGGAAAAGCGAGGGGGATTCTATCAGGAGCACTTACCCTTCCTTTTTGTTTTTGTGAGCAGAAGTGGTCCAAAGGCAAAGTTCGGGACAAGCTCAATAACCTGGTCTTGTTTGACAAAGCCACATACGACAAGCTCTGTAAGGAGGTTCCCAACTACAAGCTCATAACCCCAGCTGTGGTGTCTGAGAGGCTGAAGATACGCGGCTCCTTGGCCAGGGCAGCCCTTCAGGAGCTCCTTAGTAAAGGTGAGAGGGGAATATTGCACTGGAGTGGTTTTGCCCATTATTTTTAAAATATATTTTTATTGATTTGAGAGGAGAGATAGAAACGTCAATGATGAGAATCATTGATGGGCTGCCTCCTGCACACCCCACACTAGGGATGGAGCCCACAACCCAGGTAGGTGCCCTGACTGGAATTAAAACGTGACCTCCTGGTTTATAGGTCGATGCTCAACCACAGCAGCTGGGTTGCACAGTAAATTGTCATGACCATGTTAGCCACCTTAAATCTTTCAACTGGGATTTGTATGAAAAAAAAAAAAAAAGGCTTAGGCTAACCAGTGGTGGTAATATGATTCTGACATGTCATTTTTGTGCTCTGGCCCTCGAGGCAGTTTGGTGGCACTATGTGTAATGCCTAATATGAAAGAAGTGCTGTGAGGATGGCCATCTTGAGCAGATGGTGGGTCCCTAATTAGGTTATCACCCAGAATATAGGCATGTCTGTTACTAAATTCCTGCTCAAATTCAGCAATTCTGTTCTAGGAAGGGGTATAACAGCACTGCTATATGAAAGTCTTGTTCTTTCTCCTTAGGACTTATTAAACTAGTCTCAAAGCACAGAGCTCAAGTGATTTACACCAGAAACACCAAAGGTGGGGACGCCCCGGCTGCCGGAGAAGATGCATGAACAACAGGTGAGCAAGAATCCAGGGGCTCACGGTACAGGAAGTACGTGTCCTCTTTATAAGGCTGTAGACTGATGCTTTTTAAATTTTTTTTTTTTTCAGATCTCGCCGGCTGTACATTTTGAAAAATAAACCTTTATTAAATCAGTAAGTGGGTATGTCTTTTTCCTAAGCGAGGCAGTCACAAAAGGTAGTAGCGGGGCTGGACTTGCTGACATGGCTTCTAAGCCTTATGAAACCATTTTCTTTGACTGCTGTTTGTTCCTTGTTGCAGCTTCAGTTTTGAATTGATGTCTGAAAGGAAATGAAGGGTTAACAGGGCAAAAGGATGACATTTCCAAAGGGGTGGTGGTGGGTTGGGGGTCCTGGATCCATACCTGGATTGCCAGCGGCGTCCATTGTTCCAGACGCGGCCAAAAGAGGGCAGCCAGCCTGCGCTGGTGCTGGAGCTGTGGTCAAAGTTGGCCCCAACTCTGTCTGGAGGGAGTTTCTTCAATTTCTGTTTTTCCTCTACAATGATAAGTACATGATTTTATTTGAGTAGGAAGATTTAAAGAGCCCCCACTGCCATTCTTGAGTTAGTTTGCTCACTTTCTTTGAGAAATTCTTCATAGGAAGGTCCTATTTGTTGGTTCCCAGAGCTGTGTTCCTCATCTTGGGCCATCCAGGGTGGTGTGGCACCTGGAAAAGACCTGTCACTTTGAGCATGACCTGTGCTGCACGTACCAACAGTTCCTTTTGTTGTTGTTGCGGTTACTATGACCATTTGTGTATAAGCCTTTCTTTACTCTTGGAATGGCTGGATCATAACGTATGTTTAAGGAATTACTTGACTGTTTTCCACAGTGGCTGTGCCATTTTACATTGCACCAGCAATGAGTAAGTTCTTCCAGTACATACCCAGTCTTTCATGTAGCCATTCTGAAGAACATCTTTTTTATGCCTTTACTGAGTTTTGAGTTCTAGATATATTCAGGACCCAAGCCCTTCAGCAGATGGTTTTCTTTTTCTTTTCATTCCTATCCTGACCCCCTACCCTTTGGAAATCATCAGCTTGTTCTATGTGGGTCTGTTTGTCTTGTTCTTTTTCAGATTCCACATATAAAGGAGATTGTATGGTCTTTGTCATTTTCTGACTTACTTCACTCAGCATAATATTCTCTGGGTCCAAATGGCAAGCTTTCGTGTTTTTTTATTGCTGATACACACATCACATCTTTCTCCCTTTATCTATTGATGGAGAGCTAGATTGCAATTAGTCCTTTATCTTAACTTTATTTCTCCTGGTGGACCGTTTCTGGTGCAATACCAGGCTGATGCATGGAGTGGATGGAGCAAGTTCCTATTCCATCTCCCTGCTCCAAAAATCCATCTGATAAAGTGTCCTCAGATAAAGGATGTATCTCTATTAAACTGGTTGACAATAGATACTATGCCCTGGCAGGGTAGCTCAGTTGGTTAGGTTGCGGATTCCATCCCGGTTGGGGCACATATAAGAATCA